AAAAAAAAAAAAAAAAAAAAAAAAATTATCGATTAGCAAAATAATCATTAGTTTCAGCCCTAGATAAAAGTATGTATGATTATTTCTACTATCATATTGGATCTGTTGGAGCCAAATGCTTGATTTATGATTGAATATTTATTTCTAGTTTAGTTTTTTTGTCTGGTCTTGGTATGATATATATGAACATTAAATATTTTGGTTTGAAGTATGAGTTTACTAACTTAATTATGAAACTATGAATTTGTTTAGTTATGTTTTTCTACCATTCATAATTTACGCTGTTTCTGGCCTCCGCCCCTTCATTATGGACAGGTGACTGCAGCACCTGGATTATATCGGAGTTGGTTATTGGGGCTGGGTGAGCTCTTGGATTCAGTCAGCGCAGCCATACAGTTTTTGACCGCTTTTGATTATTGTTGTTTTTTTGAGTGGCAAAAAAGGAACGAAATGAGCCGATATGGTTGCGGTAAGAAAATCTAAGTTTGTTTTGATTTTGGAAAATAAAGCGTCTTGATCAAGAGGAAAGAAAGTTTGTTGGATTGCATGGTCACTTTAAAAAACAACTGACAGAGCTGAAGGGAGTCTAATTTGGATGCTTCTGAACCAAGAGTCACGCGCATCTTTATTGGAAAGATTAGGATCAATATTCGTGCCGTCCAAACCTTAAAGCTGCATAATAAGTATCATATTGAACTGAATATTTGGGGTCCACCGAAAAGAAAATTCTTGGCTGAAACCGAAATGGAAAAATTAGTAAACCAAGACCGGAAAAACAAAACTCTAAAAAGATTCAATGTCGAATATTAAAGTAAGTGTATTTTATGGCTTTGATGTGTACTAACCCTATTAAAAAACTCATATTATTGTTTAAGCTCAGCTAGGGCTGATTATTTTGCAAGTTGAATAATCTGTCAATTATTTTTTTAATTGATCAAAAAATAATCGGATAACCGAAGGTTTTAAAGGAGACTTTTTACTAAATTAAACCAAGTGAAACCAAAACATTTGAGGAGGTCTTGATAGAACAGATTGACAGACAAAAAAGTTATTTATCTTAAATGTAAAATGTTTACATCTTTTTTTTTACAATCTTTGTATAATTCCTGCTCTAAGTGCGTCGCTCTGTCGCCTAAAGCTGTTTCTATGTTAATGATTAAGCGATTGCTAAATTAGTTGACCATTATTTCAGTAATCGATTATCTTCCGGCCTATTTGGCCACTGAGTTAAAAAGTACATTTTAGGACGCTGCTCCCAGACCACCACCGACTCTTTTATTGAATTCATTTTAGGGTATTAGATTAAAGGGGGGCAGCGCATCTCCCCGAGGATGGATTCACATTCATGTCCCACAGGTCATATTTGTGAAAAAACTTTTAAAAATGTGCTTTGGATTCTTAGATATGAGTTTTTATTTGTGCTCTGATGTTTAACAGACGATAAAGCTGCAGTAAAGAGTAGATTAAGAAAAAAAGCGTCTAAAATAAACTGGCTCTCAGCTGTGCTCGTTACAGATGGAATGCCCACGTTCAAATCAGGACAGATCTCCACCACAGAAGAGGAAAGCGCCTTCTGAAGCATCTCCTTTGGATTCAGAGCTTTCATTTGATGCCACAGCTGCAGGTATAGAAATGATGGGGATTCTGTCAAAAATCTTTGAATCTTTTTCCTTATTAAGGAATGAGGTGGCACATAGAGAATTAGTAGATGTGAAAGCTGCTTTAGAGAAGTGTTAAATTAGTGGGAACTTACAGTTTTGGCTATTTTCCCTTCAGAAGCAGAATTTAAAACCACTTACAGACGATGAAAATGAATTGTTCCTGTTTTCTTCTTAAAGTTTAAAATTGAGTGGAATCTGTTCAGTTTTTTGTTCTGTATTTTTTCGATAACTCACCCTCCTTTTCCTTTGGCCTTACTGCTCGGCTCCACCTCGGTCTGCCTCACTCTGGTTTCCTCAGAACCTTTTGGTTTTCCATCGGTTCACTGCAGGGGAAATTACGGCTCAAAGCTCCATATTTCAGCCTCATGAGGTCTTTACTGAAGAGATATGTACTGTTTTCCAT